GACCCAAGTAATTATGGACCAAGGAGTCTGTCTTGTAGGACGTGTGATGTTATGGAAACGATATCATCACCTGTTTGGGAATAATATCCTGGGAAACAATCAGTATAGATTTAGAAATCTAGGCTAGTCTGACCCAATTGATAGAATTTTTTGAACAAGCACCAATAGTAATGGACATAAGAAATGGTTATATGTCATGTTTAGAAAGGCTGTTCATAAAGTTCCTCACACATGAGTAATTCTCAGATCAGGAGAATGCTAGTGTTTGGATTGAGAATGAGTTATTAAACAGAAATCAGTAGGTACAGATAAGGGGTGAATATTCAAAGTTAGGTGATGTTATTATTGGAGTCCAACATGGACCTGTACTAGGAGCACTGCCCTTCTTAATTACAGTATGATAATGATGGAATTAGTGGAGTCTATCACGGGTCTCTACTAGGACCTAATTATTTCAATGGCCTAGATTGTAATATAATTAATTAGTCAAGTTTGCAGACAAAACCAAATCAGGAACATTTGCAAACACTGTAGCAGCAGCACTCGAATTTAAAAAAGATTTAGATAAAATTCAAGACTGGACCAAATCCAGCTGATGATTAATGTTCACAAGTACATGAGTTTACATACAGAAAGCAAAAATATAAAGTGTTCTACCTGAAGCCAGTATTCCGGGTGATGTCTGAGTGCTGCAGATGATGTCAATATTCTGAGTGCTGGCAGAGTGCTGTAGATGATGTCAGTATTCCAGGTGATGTCAGAGTGCTGTAGATGATATCAGTATACCGGGTGATGTCAGAGTGTTGTAGATGATGTCAGTATTCCAGACGATGTCAGAGTTTTCTGATGATGTCAATATTCTGGGTGATGTCAGAGTGCTGTAGATGATTTCATTATTCAGGGCGACCTCAGGCTACTTTATATAATGTTATTATTATTCCTAATATTGGTGTGATGAACGCTGTTTTTCTTCAGGGAAATGCCACACTGCATCTCTACCCCCACTTCCAGAAGCTGCAAGAAATAACAGGTCAGTCAGTGTCTTCATCTCCAGCTCTGTGTGTGT